CTTGGATGCCTCTAACCAACGCGCTTAACTGCGGCAGTATGCCTGAAGGTCTGGTTTGTATGATCCTCCGACCGGACTAGGCGCCGTTCCATGGTCTTGGATGGCTGTTATGTGCATGTTGCTGTGATAATGCGGGAACCGAGCGAACGAAATGCCATGGCGAGAGTGGACACGCTCGATAGTCGCGTGCGACCCTTGTGCAACTCTTGTCCAGAGCTTCGGTCTTGGAGTTTGCTTGGGTGTATATGAAGAGGGGCATGGTACACCTGTCTGGACCGCAGGCACTCAAGTTCATCGCCCGTTGCGTCTACTTGATTCCACCGCCCGCGCATTCAATTTCGCGGTCGTACCTTGTTACCTTTGTTCTACCTGAGCTTAGTTCAAGTTCTCTCCAGCACAATGGCGGCCAACACCAACGTCAAGGCGTCTCTTGAGATCACCAAGGGCGCCACTGCTATGGACCCTATCCCGCTCGACACGAGCTCCACTGGTTCCTTTGACGAGAACACCAACCTCTTGGGTCCATTCCCTACTGAAGAGGAATGGGCGACTCTTCCCAGGGTTGCTGGTCGCATCCCGTGGCAAGCATGGACTGTGGCTGCTGTTGAGTTCGTTGAGCGCTTCAGTTACTACGGTACCAGCGCTGTCTTCGTCAGTAAGTTGATTGATAGCTCGTATATCTGGACATACACTGACTTTTACCAGACTTCATCCAAAAGCCATTGCCTCCTGGTTCCACAACTGGTGCTGGTTTCTTGAAGAAGGGCGTCAGTTCCGGTGCTCTGGACATGGGCCAACGTGCCTCCACCGGTCTCACCATGTTTAACCAGTTCTGGTCTTACATCACGCCTCTCGGTGGTGCCTGGCTCGCTGACGAGTACTGGGGACGTTACAAAACCATCCAGTACTCTAACCTTATCGCTCTTATCGGCCACATTATTCTGATTATGTCTGCTATCCCCGCAGTCATCGTCAAGCCTAATGTCGCCATCGGTGTCTTCGCTGTCGGTCTCGTCGTTATGGGTTTCGGAACTGGTGGTTTCAAGAGTAACATCTCTCCACTCATCGCCGAACAGTACAAGGACCAGAAGGCCTACGTCCGTGTTAGGAAGAATGGACAGAAGGAGATTGTCGACCCCGCTACTACCACTGCGCGTATCTACATCTACTTTTACTTCTTGATCAACTGCGGATCTATCTGCGGTTCCATCGCCATGGTTTACTCAGAGGTATGTGCCGAATCAGACTGCATTGTGTGACCTCACTAACGCCATCCAGCATTTCGTCGGTTTCTGGCTCTCTTACACGCTACCCACTATCTGCTACCTCCTCTGCCCCATCATTCTCATCACGATGAAGAAGCACTACAAGCTCTCGCCACCCACTGGATCCGTCATGGGCAAGGCTTTCAAGCTCATCGGTCTCGGTATCAAGCAGTCGCCCCGCAAGAACACATTCAAGGACGATGGTTTCTGGGACAGGATCAAGCCTACTGCCCTCCGTGCCAGCGGCCAGGCTGTCCCTGACTGGATGACCTTTGACGATGCCTGGGTTGATGAAGTCAAGCGCGGTATCCTCGCTTGCAAAGTCTTCTTGTGGTACCCTCTCTACTGGCTCGCGTACAACCAGATGACCAACAACCTCGTCTCCCAAGCCAACACCATGAACCTCGGAAAGACACCCAACGACATTGTCTCGAAGCTGAACCCCATCTTCATCGTCATCCTTATCCCGATCATGGATTTCTTCGTCTATCCCGCTCTCCGCAAGGCTGGTGTCAACCTCTCGCCCATCAAGAAGATCACTGCTGGTTTCGCTCTCTCCTCGTTCGCCATGGTTTCAGCCTGCGTCATCCAATACTACATCTACAAGATGTCACCCTGCGGCAGCAACATCAACGCTCTCAGCAAGGAACGCAAAGACTGCAACGCCGACATCTCCGTCTGGGTCCAAGCCTTCCCCTACGGTCTGATCGGTATGTCCGAGATTCTCGCTTCCATCACCAAGCTCGAGTACGCGTACACCAAGGCACCCAACAACATGAAGTCCACCATCCAGGCCGTTGCCCTCTCCACCTCCGCTGTCTCCGCCGCTCTCGGCCAGGCCTTTGTCAGTCTGTCTGAGGACCCTCTTCTCGTATGGAACTATGGTTCCGTTGCTGTTGTTGCCATGTTCGGTGGTATTGGTTTCTACCTTACTTTCCGCAAGGCAGATGCTCAGGAAGATGCTATGAACAACATGAAGGAGAGCAAGTACGTGGGCGGCCGTGAGATTGGCGATGCTGAGAATGTTGAGACTCTTAGTGTTAGGGATGAGAAGAACGAGAAGAGTGGGTTGTAGATATCAAAAGTATGGTAATGGTCATATGATAGTAATGATATGAATGATGTTCCAATGGTTATGTTCTAATCTGCCATGTCTATCCGTACAGTTGTTCCATTCAACCCATGAAGTCATCCCACTCTATGTCCGCCCAGCTTTCAGCCATCTCGAGTCGTCTTAGTAATGAATAATATGTCTCTTATATCGCCATCTCGTCCTCAGGAGAACTACTCAAGGTTAGCCAGGCTATCTCAAAATTGCACCAATAGTCCCAGTATCGAGTAGCCAGGAGGTCCCCAAGGTCTTCGCGGTCTTCCAAGGCAGTACTGTAATGCAGCCAGCAGGTCACAAAGGTCTTCGAGAACCTCAACTGACACATCATACCTCAACAGGGAGATGTACAACTTACTCAATAGTAAATCCCACCACCACTAGGACCTCCACGGCCAAATCCACCCCTATCTCCAATACTGCCAAACGGGTTGCCCTTACCCGGAGGCGATCCAGACGGCTTCCCCGGTGTCATTTTCCCCTTGCCCTTTCCACCAGGCGATCCCACCTCGCCCTCGTTGGAAGGCGGCGGACCAAAAGCCGGGAACATGATGTGTGGATAGTTGTCTGGATGAACACCAGCGGCTCTAGCAGCAGTGATCGCGGCCTCGTGCTGCTGCATGGCTTGGAGTGCCGCCGCCGTCGGAGGTAACATCAGACCGCCGTACCGCTGGTAGTGGCGGTATAGGAGGATGTCGACGAGAGAGCGGTTTGCGCGGATCCAGTCCATGGAGGGATGGCCGAGGTCTGGGTTCGCGATGCGGAGAACGAGTTCGTGCACGAGGGAGGGGTTGCGGTCGAAGTCGTCCTGTGGGGGTGGTGTTAGTATGTGGGTTTGCTAGGGGTGTGGGTGCGGGTGGAGAGGAAGTAGAAATGTGCTTACTATGGTCTCGCTCAGATAGATCGCGTTATTCATGTCTGGATCGTAGTTGTAGTTTGGACGAACTGCACCTCGGGCATCGGTGACTGCGTAGGCCCAGCGCATGAAGGGGCTTACAGAACTGCCGTTCCAGCGTTGGAGGGGGTTTGGCTCTTCTTCCCGAAGATGGTGGACTGTTGGTGGAGCGCGGTGGTTGGGCATAGAGGGCTGCTGAGCTTGAGGAGGAGACAGGGGCTCGATTCCAGTGCGGGATGGAATGCGACCGTGGCGAGGAGTGTTGTATGGGCTACCAGATGAGGAAGCGCCGCCGCGCCTGGAAGGCTGGTTTCCTGGAGGACTGGACATGGTGTTGATGTTGAAATTGAAGTTGATAAGTTAGAGTTGGTAAGGATATATAGAAGTTGGTTCGATTTGAAAGAAGCGAGTAGGATATAGTGAAGTGTCGTTGTCGCTGAAGTTGCCTCGATGTCTATATTGATAAGAAGAGAAGAGAGGAGGGAAGGCGCAGAGGAAGACGACTTTATATCCCTGTGGGTGGAGCTAATCTCAAGGTGAGAGACGCTTGCTTTCCAGCGTGACTTCGTGTTTGGTGAGAGAAGATGAGGGGAGAGTGTACTTGTGACGTCTTTGACGCAGTTTGCGTTTGCCTTTGGTCATGTAGATGGAGTATTGCGTTTGTCTTGGTAGCGATGTCGCTCAAGGTAAAACGCGTCATTGTATACTCGGTCAGCATCCTCCTTCACTCTTGTTCTTGAATTGTTGGTTCTCGAATCGGAGGAAAGAGCTGCGTAGTGAATATAGTGGCAAGACTGTTGCGCTTGGTAGGCCACAGCTCCTGCTCAGACTCTCCTCCTGTATATAGAAGCCCCTGATCATCTCAATATACACTCTACCCCAATTGTCGCTCAACCTTCCTCCACGAGCAACTCAACGTCGAAAGTCGCCAATATGTTCTCCTTCATTTCTTGTTTGACTCCCATGATTATCTTCATCCTTTCCCTGGCTGTCGTATCTCTAAGAGATAAGAGTCTGTTTAAGCTAGTTAAGTTATGGTGGCAACCGAAGAGAACACCTCCGATCGTGGATTTATTGACTCGATATGCTCCAGTCCAGGATGCCATACTCGCGCAACTCGACATGGCCGATATTGTTTCGCTCAGTAAGACCACAAAGCCGTTCATAGACTTGGTTAAGCTGGTGGAGCGCACTCAATTCAACATCAACGACCGGTTGAAGCATTTCGTCACTTCTCCTGTCGAGTTCCGCGCTCTTCAAGCCCGAAATAATATCCTTATAGGAGGAAATTTCGCGTACGAGTTCATGGCGAGAAAGCCGGTCGTGAAGACTGGCGGTAAATATGGGCTTTATAGCCTCCTTGTTCAGAAAGGACCCAACGCTGATGCATTACGCACCTTCCTTGAAAAAGATGGTTATGAACGTCTCGATACTCCCACGCCCGAGGACAAAGAGCTTTCAGTAAGTTCGAATGAGCTCAGCTAATTCGTATGTTCCACGCGTGTCTCGCTAACCCTCCCAGAAGCTTCGAATAACAATGAGTCGAGTCAATTCCGATGGAAAGTGTAGCGAAGTCAACATCGTGGAAACAGCGATGACTCCGGTTCTCGAAGCGCTACTGCCCTCATCGACCTCTCTGAGCAACCTTATCACCTGGAATCGCGCCTATTCTGTCTTTCCACATGAGACATTCATAGACAAGAGGGGTTATCTTTTACGTCACCCCACAAAAATGACCACTTCCGAATGGGTCGACACAGAATCGTTAGGCCTCGACATGTTCCCTCTGAAACGTCAAGACGCCTTAGATGAGAAAGAAAGGAACACCCTGCTCTCCCAGCGTCGTGTCGGAGATACCAGTAGCTGGGTCATCGCACTCAACACTTCTGGACTACATTCCGTACTGCCATATCCCAATTACCTGGTCGAGTCTGCTACGTTCAGGCTAACCATGTACGGCGCGTTGGACCGCGGCTTGTTCAGCCACTACTACGTCGATGTCTCTATCGTCAGCGCGCCCTCACTAAAACACCAGTATATCCTTCCTCGTGGCATCGCCTATCAGCTCGATATCTTTTTCAGAAATCTTACGATAGTGTCTTTACATCGCCTACCGACAGCTCAACAACCTCAGCGACTGGGCCAGATATTCGCCGGTCTGCATCTGGGCCTCGAGTCACCACGAATGGCGCTGATTGAAGGGTTTGTACCGCCCGAAGGATCGAATTGGAAGTATCATGATGATGAAATGGTCCGGTATCTGAAGAAGGAGTACCCCGAGCTAGAGTATGGGCTCCAAGCTACAGGCCTCTGAGTGTCGACAACGTGCGAATCTGGCCTTGTGAATTGTGCGGCACGGGCCAGCCACTGTTACTGGTGCTTGCGGAGTCTGTCTTCTTCTTATGGCTGTTAATACTCAACGAATCTGACGTCCATCGTGTGATGCCCTTGCTCCGCGTGTGATTCTTGTCCAGTCGATGTCTTCTAAAGCGAGTGTCGTTGCATGCGGGCGCGCGACGATGTGGGTGAGTCGTACTGGGATGAAAGGCGATGGTTATAGCGAGGACACTCCTGCAGCTGCGGGATGGAGACAAGATCGCCAAGGAGCTAGCCCGATCCAGCCTCATAAGGTCATCTACGACGCAAGCAGCACTCGAAGTCTCCTAATTCATCATCACTCAAGAAATCGATTGGTAGGCGCATTGCTGTTAATACATCATGGTGTGTTGATGATCTGCGCAAAGCAAGGAGGAGCCCTTCGTGATGTTGGTCAATCACGCTAGTCTGCTCTTGGTTTCCGCCCCAACCGTCTGCGGGTGCACTCTATTGGACTTGGATCGATGCAGGAACAGTGCGACGCGAGAAGATAATAGTATGGCTGGGGTAACCAAAACCTTGTATCTTGCTTTTTAACGATCCAGTCTTTGCTTGATCACCCGGATACTAAAATGCAGATCACAGTATGAAAAGAGCCCCATGGACTTCAAGCAAGCACTACGCCGCATAGCAGGAACGTGAGAGCATGGGAGGGAAACAGAATTGAAGATCAGACGAACAATCCAATGGCGAGCCGCATATGCTGAGACCAAACTTCCGGCGGTTATGCACAGTGGCTGCGCTCCCGTGAGAGGGTAAGTCGTGAAATTGAGCCCCTTGCAGAGCAACGAATACATCATAACACAGCAAGGATGAAGAATACACATTATTGCGACCACTTCCGTCCTTTCTTCTCGTCATCCGCCTCTTCTCTTCTCTCCAAATCAAACCTAAACACCATCCGCGAACCCCCATGGCATCCACAAACCGAACCTGCTACAACCGCGACGGTAGCCCAATCACCGACATATCCTACCAACCCTGTCTCAGCGACCCTGACCGCGATTCGTTCTGCTGCGGCACCAACCACCAAGGCGCGGGCCAAACAAACGTCGCCGACGATGTATGTGAAAGCAACGGCTTATGTCAGAACTACGAAGCTTTCGATGGGACGAACGCGAACGTGAAGTTATGGTGGCGAAATGGGTGTACGGATCCGACGTGGCAGAGTGCGGAGTGCTTGGGGAGTGTTTGTAATAATAGTACGATGAGTGAAGTAGTCTATGCTGGACCATGATCGATGATGCTGATGGACTGTAGTGGCAGGACGAGAACGCGCCGGTGAGGAAGTGTGGGGAGAATAGTTGGTGCTGTGGGAATCCGAGCTGCTGTAGTGATGAAACGAAGCGGTTTACCCTGGCAGCGACCGTGGGCGAGACTGCATCTTCGACTTCGTCATCGACATTGACATCCGCAACATCTGCGCCAACATCAGACGCTTCAGCATCATCGAACGCGAGCGCATCAACACCCGTCCCACACTCATCACCAAGCAACAGCGCAGACCCAGCCTCCTCAAGATCAGACAATTCGACCACGTCGCAAGCGCTCAGCGTTGGAGCGCGCGCAGGAATCGGCGTCGGTGCAGGATCGATAGCGATACTGGTAGTACTCGTTACCTTGTTGGCATGGAAACTGAAGAAGAAAAGACGACAGAAGCAGGCTGCTACTGTAGAGCTACCGCCCAGCGCTATCGACGAGAAAAATCTGGAAGCGCAACATTATCCTTCGGTGGCGCCCAGCGAACTGTATGGCGGGAATGCAGCCGTAGAGATGGGGTGTAGGGAGCCAGCAGAACTAGCGGGAACGCCAGGACGTCCGTATGGTCGCGATGATCCAAAGGTCGTCCTACAGCCGTGAGGGTGGCATATGCTCGTAGTCGCAGCACTTTTTAGCTTGCGCACGACTATGTCATGTCAGTGATAGCATCAGCAAGATCAAGGAGCAGAATGTCTAAATGAAACCAATGCATTTCGTTTACAAGCGCAGAATGAAATTGATGAGACCCTAAAATACACGCCGTCAAATGGATCGCAAGTGCACCTCGACCGATGCCATTATTTACCACCTCGCTTCTCAACTTCGAAGCCCTCGTTGTCCGTCCGTTCGAATAATACATGGAGACGTGACACATGCCGCGCATGTGGGTATTGCGCGTCATATGCGTAGATTGCTGAACGACTTTGCGTATCGATGCCGTTGCTTGTGTGTTGCAGTTTTGTATTGTCGTATCTGCAATCGAACGTACGTAATCGTCTAGCAGTGAGCGTCGCTAGCCTTGGAGTTCATGAGCAGGGCAACAATGAGTCCGTAAAGACCTGGCATATGTTAGTGCGAGCTTCTTAGTGGGTTTCGAGCGACGTACCCAAAACTTCGGCGAAAATGAGAATCAAGATCATTCCGACGAACAACCTGGGCTGTTGGGCGGTTCCTCGTACACCAGCGTCACCGACAATGCCGATGGCGAAACCAGCGGCCATACCGGACAGACCGACGGCGAGACCGGCACCGAGCTGGATGAAGTTGGCGAAGAGCGAAGACTCTTGCGAGAGACCGTTGGAGATCAGGACGGACACGACGAGACCGTAGATACCGATAATACCCGCCATGACAACGGGAATAATGTCTGAAGTGTGTTAGCTGCGTGTCGGACATCGCGACATCTGTCGAGCGGTTCATCACGTACTCTTGACGATCAGGTCAGGGCGGAGGACACCCATGGCTGACACACCAACACCGGCCTTTGCGGTTCCGTAGGCCGCGCCAAAGCAGGCGAAGACGATAGCTGACGTGCAGCCCATCGCGCCGAAGAAGGGCTAGTTGTTTATTAGCTATGACGATGGACGGGTCGACGCGGTGCTGTCGCGTCGGGAGGCGAAGCGGAGGTTGGTCCGAGGACTTACAGCATAGACGGGGCTGCATCCATTATGTTAGCTATTGTACGTATAAGGTGATGGCGAAGAAGCTCCTCCGATGCTCATGTAACAGTCGCATGCCCAGCTTATCTCCAGAGAGGCAAGCTGGAGCTACCTGCATGCTCGACAAGGGAGCTCCGTGTTCACTCACCAAAGTTCGGAGACCATCTTTGCGGTGATGTATGTATTCGACGAGACGTCTAGAAGGGTGTCGAGATCTTTATTGAGATGGACGGGAGTCGTGGATGCGGCGACGGGGGCGGTTGTGATGTCGAGGAGTGGTGACGATGGTTGGCGAAGAGCTGGACGTCGCTCGTTTTGCCCTATACCTAGTCTGTCACTAGCGCCACACGTGAGGTGCGCCAAGTAATAATCCTAGCAGCTACGAACTTTTTGATTTTCTCGAACTTCCAAACTACCACAACCTTCGTTCACCACAAATTCAACCCGGGCGAGCAAGCAGTGTAAGTCGCGTAGCTATTTGTCTTCTGATAACTCGACACTCGTCGCCCATCGACAGCGTCAACCGTTCACTCGAACTTCGGTCGCATATACAGTTGCGTCGCATAGCTAACACATCATAGGAATCCTCATTCGGACGAGCTTTAGCAGTGAACCCTACCACCCACCACACCTCACCCTCCTTCCAACAAGATGGCCGAAGACAACAGCGCCGCCTGGCCCCAAGCCGACCAGGCTCTGTCCCAGGAGATCCTCGACCTCGTCCAACAGGCTACCCACTACCGTAAGATATCTGTACGAGCCGCATGTGAGACCAAGACTGACTTCGTGAATCTAGGCCAACTCAAGAAGGGAGCCAACGAGGCCACCAAGACCCTCAACCGTGGTATTAGCGAGTTGATCATCCTCGCGGCCGACACCTCCCCGCTCGCTATCCTCCTCCATTTGCCGCTTCTCTGCGAAGACAAGAACGTTCCCTACGTCTACGTCCCCTCTAAGATGGCTCTCGGCCGCGCCTGCGGTGTCGCCAGGCCCGTCATCGCTGCTAGCATCACCACCAACGAGGCTTCCGACCTCATGGGCCAGATCCGCACCCTCAAGGACAAGGTCGAGCGCCTCCAGATCTAGGTGGATCTGCAGGATCGCTATACGCGCAAGAGAATGCAAGAGTTGGAAACTGGTTCCGCAATACTGGAAGGTTTACGTAGGGACAAGATGGCAGAGGCCTGGGTTGAAATATGCCCATGGTCTCCGTACGTAGACCGAGAATGAAATGCCGAGCGCACGTCGGCATCGACTCTGCCAAATCTGAATTATTGATCTACATATTCCTTCGTGCTACTGGAATGCGCGATCTACTCATTGATAATACGTCTAGGTACTCCTTCAAGCCACACTCACAAAGCGGACCCGATGTACTGTCGTAGATGGTCTTCACAACAAAACAAAACCGGACCGTTGTGTTCGCGCGCACGATGCAAGCCCAGAAATTGCGCTTTTCCCAAGCCTTTATACGTCGCCTCACAACCATCCACCCCACACTCAATGATACTCAGCGCCGTTGAGCTAGTTGACGAGTCAGTGAGCGAGCCTCGACTGCCACCTGCCTCTCCTCCTTCATCACTATTCTCCGGCTCTTCATCATCATCTTGGTCTTCGCTGACGTGTGCAGCTACCACAAACAGCGACAGTTCTTCTAGGTGTTCGCCCGTGTGACGCCGCAATGTCGTCAACGAAGAGACTTCAGCCAGACATAGCACACATGTTGCCTTGGCAGTCATACTACGGTGCCTCTCACAGCTACGGACGAGCTGTCCAATACGATCGCCAGTTGCGAATGACGGATGCTCACGCGCGATGTGTTTCTGGAAACTAGAGGGAGATTGGAACGGCTTATCGCAACCATCGACGCACTGCCACCATTTCCGATGCATCTGAGTCTCATGACGGAACCACTCGTGTCTTGATTCGTATGTCCGGTCGGGCATTTCACAATCTTCCACGGTGCATACCTATTGGTTGTTAGTCGATCAGACTGGAAAGTCAGGAGCAACTCACATATGGTTGCAGGTCTTCGTAGACATGCTTCTTCCATGCTCTGACATTTCGAACTGCAGTGTAGCGGAAGCAGAGTTTGCATACAAAAGACTTGCCGTCACGGCCTGCCATCGGCAAGGGCGGTGGACGTAACTTCTCCGGATCGCCCGAGGATGCATAAGAAGTGACAGACTGCGTTTCATCGTATTCGTCCTCCTCTTCAAGATCGGCAATATTGACGCTAGCCTTCACAGCTGGTGGCAAGGAAGATGCTACTGTACTCTCCACTTCACGATGCGCTCCCATGTCTGGAAGCGTGCCTCTTCTTGTTAGGCCTTGCTTGTACTTCTTCGAGTGATCATCGCGGTAACGTAGGTATTGTCGGCGACGCGAGATGGCTTTGCCCAGCCGGGCCGTGAGATATTCTGGCGCCTTGGGAAATTTTCCACGGACATGAGCGATGTCGAACGGTTCGTAATAAGCCGTATCTATGTGCGCGGATTCTTTGAATTGATCATGCGGAGCTGGATTTCGAATGGCGACTGACAGCCGCATGAGGCAGGCATTCGTCTCTTTCAGTTCAGCTGCAAGTTGGGCAAGCTCCGTTGTATCCGGCTTTTGAAGGCCATTGGCACTATCTTCCTCCGTATCTGACTCCGAATCAGACATGTCCTCCCAGGATGGCCGCTGGCCAGTCACTATGTCCGACACCTCGTTCAAGACAGCCTCCATACTCTGGACAAGCTGAATGACTTGGTCACGTATGTGAGATGCGTCACGAAGCTTGTAGCCGAGAGACCCTCTTCCCACACGATGCGCACCTACATTCGACGACCATAACCTGAATCCACCAAAGATATCCTTCAGCAGAGCTAGCGGGAGCTTGGTCTTGATGCTTGATTGGGCGCTTGAAAGCTTGTTGCACACTGCTTGGAAATCTCGCAGGCAGCGACGGACATTGAGTGCTATCAGAGAAAGATCGTCGGGTTTCGTGACTTCCTCACGGGCTGATGCCGCTTCGACGAGCACTTCAGCTGCTTGGGTCGCCATGTCGGATGCTTCGACTTGATGCGATACTCCACGTATGCTCGGTTGTCAAAGACAAGTCGAGGGCTGTTCCAGGATATAGCACCGGATAATCGTTTGGAAGTGTATGGAGATGCTACCAGCCAACGCTGATCGTATAAAGACTCTGTGGGATGCGGTTCCTGTGGGTGACGTGCCGCGGATGTTTCGTGGTACTCAAAAGATCATAAACCAGGCATCAGAGCGGTTCTGAATAGATTCGATTTAACGCGACGAGTAAAAACATGGAAGACTTAATGGTTTGCGTTCAGAAGCGTCTAGCCTGGGCGCTTCCGGATAATACTGTTGCACGACAAACGTGGAAGTGGGGGCCAGGTTTGCGGGCACCCATGTGCAGCGCAGCCTTGGACCGGCACAGCTGACCTCAGCTTCCGATGGCAACATCGTTCTGGAACAGCAAGAAACGGGTGGGCAGCTTCACAAACACTTTCGCTTCTGTTACACTTATCGCGCGAGTTGCTTCCTCACCACAATGTCGGGCCTCGAGGTCGTTGGCATCGTGCTCGGAGCGTTGCCGCTTATTATCTCAGCCTTGGAACACTATACACAAGGTGTCACCACAGCCAAACGATTCTGGCACTTCAAATCCGAGTTGAGATCTCTGTTAACTCAAGTCGAAACGGAAACAAGCCTTTTTATCAACACCATCGAGCAACTCCTGAATGGAATTGTCCGAATTGAAAAGATGTCCGAATTGATCGCGAATTTAGGCGGTGAGGGATGGGAAGACGACACCGTAGAACAGCGCCTGAAAGACAGGCTACGCGGCTCGTATCGCATTTACTTGGAAAACGTCCAGGGAATGGCAGGAGCGTTACAAACGATCATGAAGAAACTGGTGTTAGACCCTGACGGCAAGGTACGTCAAGATCGCTCTTTCTCCACCGTAGCCCTCATGGGCTCGCTAGCTCGTAGCAGCTAAGCCATCAATTTGCCTGAGCAACATGCTACGCCTTAGGATGGCAGTCACTGACTTTTAATAGCCACCTTCTGCAGACCCCACTCTGTTTAAGCAAGAGTACAAGAAGATCAACAAATTGAAGTTTGCGCTCAGCAAATCGGAATACACAGAACAAATTAACGCTATAAGAACGTACAATCAGGGTCTGAGTAGCCTCACCAAGCAGTCTCTCGAGCTGGAGCCGTCGCGGATGAAATCCAGATCGAAACAGTGCCCCAACTTTCGCGTCCTACAAGATCATGCGCGCTCTGTGTACCAATCGCTAAAGTCCGGCCTTCGATGCGGTTGCAGCGGTCATGCAGTCAAATTGCGACTGGAAAGTCGGATTCAGACAATGCAGCAACGAGATGATCCGCTGGATCATACGCCGTTTCGTGTGATATTCACAGACGAGACTGTGCAGGCGTCGCCGCGACCAACATCATGCAAGTATTGGAAATGGATTGAAGCGGACGTCCGGTACATTGCCGATCAGCCCGACAAAAAGCCACCGCCACCATACGTGCATAGAGCTCTCACTTCGCCCAAACCCCCCAAATCGGTCAGATGGAAGCAGACTGAGTCTCGATCGAGCAGCAGCAGCACCATCACGCTTGTCGAAAACTCAAGTACATCTGGTTTGAATTTCACACCAACGCATATAGAAGACTTGTGTAAAACAGTCGGAGCGCTTGTCGGTACAGAACACGACCCATGTATTGGCTACTTGATCGACGATGTCAAGCGAAAACACGGAATCTATCCACTGGAGACGTCGAGCGGCTCTGATCAGCAAGAATGGGTAGCGTATTCGTTGCGGCAAGTGCTTACCAAGCACACAAATATCGGGCGGCCACTGGGACTTCAAGATCAGCTTCGAATCGCAGTAGACTTGGCATCAAGTGTACTCCATCTTTACAAGACACCGTGGCTGGACGAGCACTGGAGCGACAACGACGTATATTTCATCCATCGTCCAGGTGTTCCATTGTCTGCACTCTACGATCATCCATTCGTTTACCGCAATTTGTCATCAGGATGCACGATCCAGCCACATGACACCCAACGAGCAGTCGCAAAAGTCATACGGAACCAGACACTTTACACGCTCGGTATTTTGCTCATCGAGCTTATCTATGATAAACCAATCGAAGAGCTCCAAATTCCCCGAGACCAGGATTGCGCAGGTACGCCAGGTATCACGTGGGTGACGGCTGAAAGACTACTTGATGACGATATCGATTTCCATGCTCCCATGAATTACGTGGAAGCAGTTAGAAGATGTATTCGATGCGATTTCAATCGGAAAGAATCTAGTCTTGATGATGAGGCTTTCCAACAGGCAGTCTTTGAAGGGGTGGTGACGCCTCTGGAGAAGGAGCTTCAGCATTTCACGGGTGGCGATTGATGACATCTGCCTAGGCTTTCTTTTTCTAGCTTACTCACTCATGCAAGTCGAGGGTAGCGCATTGAGGATTCACAAGCACATGAGAAAACGTCGAAGTCGTTTGAAGTCTGGAGTCTGAGCGCATTACAGGATACATGATCACTGGCAGAGCCTCAGCTCTTACCAAGCAGTTGCAGCTGATGCAAATATAACGACTGGGGCAGTGCCGAAGAAGTGATATCTTGTGTACCACGAAAGGGGTTCTCACAATATGCAAAACCAGCGCGGGCAGGAGACTGATCATTGAACCATGCCACGTGACGTTCGTTCTCACTCTGGAGAAACAACGAGAGCGGACAAAAGGAGAAAAAGAAGGTCGGGTCGTTCTGGTCAGGCTAGATGGCTGAAATGATGCACAAGACTGCGGAGAAGTATTGGCACGACATAGTTTCTCTCGCATTTCTCCGGAGTAGCTCTTGATAAGGCGTTCAGGTCGGGCTAGATTGCTCAAATGACGCAAAGAGCTGCGGAGCAATATGGGCATGGTATGATTTTGAACACATTAGTTCTTGGAAAGACGTGCTGGTCAAACATCTCGGTACCACATACCCCGCTCAACACCACCGTCTCCATCTTTTCCCAGGGGTAGCGTGTTCCCCGTGGGGATCTTCCCCAGATTCCATGTCACCTAATTCGACTTTCGTAGTCACGATTTCACATGTCGTTGCCCATGCTGTCAACCGATTGGTGGCGGACATAAGCTCTGGCTAGTATCTTGGTATTTCCGACGTTCTCGCCGGAATTCATGGATGTTTCCAAGGCTCGAACAGGCCAGACCCACTCATGGCCTTCATTTCAGAGAGGAACGCAGTCGAGAGTGGAGCTTTCGTGGTTCCTGACAATCAAAATAAGCTTTCGCATTCGTCTACAGGTCCCGACGCAGCGGGCGCTAAATTCGACACCGAGGCTCCGAGCTTGCGTATGAATGGCCGTACCTGTCCGATGGTAGAATTTGGCCGTCACGACCAATCGGCATGCCTTTAGTCGGGCTCGTAAATAGAAGGCGACCAATCGGCCAGTCGTTAGTCGACCATGCTCTTGTAGCTTTCGAGATGCTCATGTGACGACATGAACGGAATTTGACACCTAAGGCCAGAGGTTGTTGTTTAGGTGTTTGAACAGGAAGGGGAGAGATGGACATATAAGGGGATTGTTCTTGCGCACATTAAGACATCGCTATCATCACATTCTCTCACGCATCGCATCCCATTCACTCCAACATGAGGACTTCTGCCATCAAGGCCGCGCTTTTTGCGCTCGTCGGACTCACTGCTGCCGCTCCCAGACCTGGTCTACTTGGTTCACTCCTTGGAGCTGGAGGCAGCGCTCCCATCCCTCCCTCTGATGATCCATTCTATACACCGCCTGCTGGCTTCGAGTCTGCAAAACCTGGTGCTATCTTGAGAAGCCGACCAGTACCCAGCGCCCTCTCGCTGTTTCAAACCATTCCTCTCAACTTGAAGGGTGCCTGGCAACTGCTCTACAGGACCACTGACTCGCTCGGAAACCCGGTGGCCACAGTCACTACGGTGATGGTGCCAAAGAACGCGGATTCAAAGAAGCTGCTCTCTTACCAGGTCGCTGAAGACAGCGGTGGTGAGATCAACTGCGCACCATCTTACACGCTCCAAACAAAGTCCAATACCACATATGCCGGAACAGGAGGTATTGAAGCCGCCCTCATTGCTGCCTCGCTCAACCAGGGCTGGATCGTCAACTCGCCGGATTGGGAGGGACCCAAGTCCACTTTCGTCGCTGGATTCCAAGCAGGCTACGCTACTCTTGATGGTATTCGTGCGGCGCTCGCTTCCGGCGCCACCACCGGCGTCGACTCTTCTGCAAAGGTCCAGATGTGGGGATATAGTGGAGGCGCTTTGGCTTCCGAATGGGCCGCCGAACTCCAAGCCAACTACGCCCCAGAGATCCCCTTTGTTGGCATGGCCATCGGCGGTGTAACTCCCAATGTCGAAAATGTGTTCAACACCATCAACAAGGGACTCTTCGCTGGTCTCAGTGCTGCCGGCTTCTTGGGCTTGGGAAACGCGTATCCTGATTTCGGAAAGTATGTCCAAGACAGCCTCAAGCCAGAGAAGGCTGATGCTTTCAACCAAGCTGGTCGCCAGTGCTTCTACGCCGACGTGAAGACGTACGCGGGACAGGATATCTTCACGTACTTCAAGCAAGGACAGGCGATCTTCGATGGTATGTACCCCCCGTGAGGAAACATTAATCCTGACGATGACACTGACTTACAAATCTTCACAGACCCTATCGCGGAAAACACCATCAGGACTGGAGCGACCATGGGTCTTCACGGCACTCCATCCATGCCGATCTTCGTATACAAGGCCGTGAAGGATGAGATCTCGCCAATCGCTGACACTGATGCGCTCGTAGACCAGTTCTGCAAGGCGGGCGTTTCCATCACATACGTCCGAGACTCTTTCGGCGAGCACTTCACCCAGGCTGCCACTAGCACCGGTGATGTCCTCAACTACCTCACCGACAGGTTCAACGGTGTTCCCATCTCGGGCTGCAGCATCCGCAACGAGTTCTTGGATCTTCTGGATGCTGGCT